ATATGTTAAAATTGTGCTAAAGGCTTTATAGAGGCTATCTGAACCCTTAGAAATTCCCTGTGAGGTAGATACCATTAAATTCCTATTACAAAAAAGTACAGTGGGGCTTGAACTTCCTTAAGTAGCATGTCCAAGTTCACAGAACGGTAAGTGGTGAACATGGAACTCATATGGATCTGCTTGGCTTCAGAATCTATGATTATGAGCATTCCCTTATCCTGAGAAGCAACTTCTGTTAAAGTCTACTTACCAGCAAGTTGAGAACAAGCTAATCTTTAATCTTATCCTTTACTCAAGACCTCTAGTTGGAAAAGCAGACATGATTTGTCTTATTTTTGCTTTTTAACTTACCCACTCACAGTCGATTCCAAGTACTGGAATATCTTCTAACCCACTCCTAAGCAAGGGTTCAACTTGATCCCACTCTGCCTCCTGAGATACAGTGACCACCTTTGCTTCCAGGATCCTCTCCTCCCATGAGGCTCTGGGGGCACTGGAAGGCAACTGGTCCACTTCTGGCGGGGGCAGCTCGCTCCTGCTTGGAGCTTGCTGCTGCTGCTGCTGCTGCTGGTGCTGGTGTTGCTGCAGTTGGTGCTGCTGCTGCTGCTGCTGCTGCCGCCACCAGGCTCCACGGCTGCTCCTACTCCTCCGGCGCTGGATGCCTTTCCACAGGACAAATGCCCCCACTGCCGCACCAAGAAGAGTGGTCACTGTCAAAGCCACCAAGTGTCTAGACATCTTCAACTTTGCTGCTGTTTAGGAAAGCATATCACTAATCCCACAGTCTGCAAAACAAATGGTAACAATAATTTTACACACAGAATTTAAGCCTATATGGAAAGACGTTTCCACTAAAACTTGGGGATTGTTCCACTTACAATCCATGTGCCCACAAACTAAAAAATTGTTACAAATTTTAACATGAAACAGTTATATTTTAATTTTTTCACTTTTTTACATTCTCTACTTCATCTCTATCTCCATTCTCTCCTAAGAAAACCCTCCTGCCCTCTACCAGTTTCCCAGGGCTCTCTTAATCATATAAAATCATATCAATTAAAACAGAATAAGCTAGCCCAGCCAGCATGGCTCAGTGGTTGATTCCCGGTCAGGGCACAAGCCTGGGTTGCAGGCTCAATCCCCAGTATGAGTCGTGCAGGAGGCTTCTGATCAATGATTCTTTCTCATCATTGATGTTTCTATCTCTCTCTTCCTCTCTGAAATCAATAAAAATATATTTTAAAAATAATAAAAAATAAAACAGAATTAAGCTATACTCTGGCTTTCACTTACTGATATGTTAGTGAATAAATTTTTGCTAATGGACCTTCTTCAAGGTGCTTGCACTTTAAACCTTCAATTTCTAACAAGAATTGAGTGGAAATTTCTGCTTCAATAAAAATCTAATCATTAGCAAGTTGGTGGGGAGATTTTTTTACTTTTCTGCAAGGTGTAGGTAGTGGGAGAATGAAGCAAACGGGCTTGAGAACACATGGATCTTCTTGCACCAGAAATCTCAGTAGTTCTCCATAGAAACAGACTCAGATATTGAGGGTAAGCTAGGGCAGTACAAAGGAACGAAGGGCCTCCAAAAGGAATAGGACAGAACCTTGAGAGAGTTCCAAGATGCTCAGGAGGAGGTTGCAAATTGGAATGTCCACAGGGTCAAGATAGGAGAATATACTTAAGTAAAGCAAGCCAAGTGAAAGACAATGGACACAGACACCCTGCTAAATAGTCACCTACTGCATAACAACATTTTGGTCAATGATGAACTGTACATACAAAGGTGGTCTCACCTATACTAACAAAAGCGTAATATGCTAATTAGACTGGACATCCTTTCGGGCAAAGCCAAGGTGGCGGGGGCCGAGGTAGAGGCAGTTAGGGGCGATCAGGCTGGCAGGGGAACAGTTAGGGGGCGATCGGGTCAGCAAGCAGAGGCAGTTAGGGGCGATGAGGCAGGCAGGCAGGCAAGTGGTTAGGAGCCAGTGGTCCCGGATTGCGAGAGGGACATCCCCCGAGAGGTCCCAGATTGGAGAGGGTACAGGCTGGGCTGAGGGACCTCCTCCCCCTCCCCCGCACAAATTTCGTGCACCGGGCCTCTAGTAAAATTATAATTTAAAATTCCTATTGTCTAGTGCAGTGGTCAGCAAACTGTGGCTCATGAGCCACATGCGGCTCTTTGGCCCCTTGAGTGTGGCTCTTCCACAAAATACCACGTGCGGGTGCGCACATACAGTGCGATGGAAACTTTGTGGCTCATGCACAGAAGTCGGTATTTTGTGGAAGAGCCACACTCAAGGGGCCAAAGAGCCGCATGTGGCTCGCAAGCCGCAGTTTGCCGACCACTGGCCTAGTGACATTGTTGCTGTCATAATGTCATAGCACAATGCATGGCTCACGTGTTGTGGTGACACTGGTGTAAACAAACCTGCTGCACTGCCAGCTGTAGAAAAGTACAGCACATACAATCACGTACAGTACATAATACTTGATAACAAAGGACTATGCTACTGGTCTTTGTATTTTCTACATAATACGTTTTGTTGCTATTTTAGACTGTACTCTTTCTACTTATTAAAAAAAAGTTTGCTATAAAACAGTGTGCCGTTATGCCAGTAGCAGCCTTATACATCTCGTGTTTACTGTGTCTTTCAATGGCCATCATTTCGTCTTGTGCTTGATTTAATCTAGTGTTGTTTTGTACAGTAACATACTGTACAGGTTTGTAATCTACGAGTAATAGGCTCTACCATATGGCATAGGTATGTAATAGGCTATACCAGTGGTTGGCAAACTCATTAGTCAACAGAGCCAAATATCAACAGTACAACGATTAAAATTTCTTTTGAGAGCCAAATTTTTTAAACTATATAGGTAGGTACATTGTTATTAACTTAATTAGGGTACTCCTAAGGCTTAGGAAGAGCCACACTCAAGGGGCCAAAGAGCCGCATGTGGATCACGAGCCGCAGTTTGCCGACCACGGCTATCATTCCCTATCCGATAGGGAATGATAGCCAGAAAATACAAAATACACATGTAAAAGATTGATATATTTAAACATAAAATTTAAAGCTTTGGTTCAACAAAGATGCCACATGGCTAAAGATAAGCAACAACTTTTCTTTTTTAAAATAAGTTTCTTTTTTAAATATGTTTTTATTTAGCCCTAGCTGGTTTGGTTCAGTGGATAGAGTGCGGGCCTGCGGATGGATTGGCTGCCTCTTGCACGCCTGCTACTGGGGATTGAGCCCAGAATCCCAGCATGTGCCCTGACCAGGAATCGAACCAGCAACGTCCTGGTGCATGGGATGAACTCAATCAATTGGGCCACACGGGCTGGGCAAGACAAACAACTTTAAGAAGCACTACATTGGAGATGAATATTTAAAACATATATAAGTGACAAAAAGATTACTATCCAGACTATATAAAAACACTATCCTATATAATAAAAGAGAAACATACAAATTAGCTATCCCTCCACTACGCCCAAGCCACGCCCACCAGCCAATGAGGAGTGTGTATGCAAATTTCGATGTTTCTCTCTCATCAATGTTTCTAACTCTCTATCTCTCTCCCTTCCTCTCTGTAAAAAATCAATAAAATAAAAAAAATACATAAATGACAAAAAGATTACTATCCAGAATATATAAAAACACTGGTCTGAGTAAAAGGCAGTACAGACATGGGGTCATGTAGTGTTTGGGGTACATATATGTACAGGGGAAGTGGGCAGAGGGAGGGAGTGATCAATATGAACATTTTGGTGTATTTCTGACACTTTTATTTATTTTTTAACCTATTTTTATTGATTTCAGAGAGGAAGGGAGACGGAGAGCAATATAGAAAGTCATGATGAGAGAATCACTGATTGGCTGCCTCCTGCCTGCCCCACACTGGGGATCAAGCCCACAACTGGGAATCAAACCGTGACCTCCTGGTCCATAGGTGGAGGCTCAACCACTGAGCCATGCTGGCTGAGCTCTGACGCGACTTTTTAAATTCTCTAGCCCTGGCCGGTGTGGCTCAGTGCCTTGAGCGTCCGTCCTGTGCACCAAAGGTTGGTTCAGTTCCCAGTCAGGCACATGCCCAGGGTGTGGCTCAATCCCTGGTAAGGGATGTGCAAGAAGCAGCCAATCGATGTTTCGATCTGACATCGATGTCTCTCTTTCTCCTTTCCTCTCTCTCTAAACATCAATTTAAAAATATTAAAAACAACAATATAATCTCACTAGTAACTACTTGAGACATGGTCATATGGGCACACAAACACATGGAGGATTTTCTATGCAACACTGTGTCTTAACAGTGAAAAACTGTAAGCAATGTACGGAATCTCACATATTACGGAATCTTCACATACTAGGGAATTTACAAAGTTGAAAGAATAAGGTAGATCTCTACATAATGACAAAGAAAAAGTTCTAAGACCAATTTTTAAGCACAAAAAGTCAAGTTGCTGAGTAGGTACAATACATCATATTTGTAAAATATACATTTGTGAAAGTTTAACACAAATATATTTTATATGTACAAACACCTGTCCATATATACAAAGAAAAAGAAATAGAAAAGCACACCCCAGACAGTTCTTCCTTTTGGGCAAGCGACTAAAGAAGAAAAAAATGGAAATGGAAAGACACAGGTCAAAGAGCATCTATCTTGTTTTTAAAATTTCATCAGTGTTTCACAAGACTGTATGCACGGACTACAACTAAAATAAATATAGAAGAGTAAGTGCATTAGTGCCCTGGCTGGGGAGCTCAGTGGTTACAGCATTGCTTGCCCAGGCTGCCTTTTCCATCCCTGGTCAGGGAACATACAAGAGTCAACCGGTGAACGCATAAATAAGTGGACCAACAAATCTGTGTTCCTCTCTCTCTTTCTCTAAAATCAATTTTTCACAAAAGGACATTATTAAAACAAGGTCAACTTGACCAAAATTAATCCTTCCTCCTCCATATTAAACCTCCTTTCTCCCGAAATTCTAATAATGAACAAAACCTTTCGGTGCCGTTCCTTCCGTCCTTACAACTAAAACAGGCGATATAATATGGTGTTTAATAAGAGAGTTCGTCTGTGTCCAATGGTATGTCAAAAGCTTATAAAGGTGTGGGTTTGTTTACGTCTTAAAGAGCAGGTATCGATTTTGTAACAAATGCTCATTAACGATCTATCCCAGGGATGCGAAAAAAACAAACAGGTGTCTCCCCAGTCAGGCCCGAAGCGGCGGGCGTGGCCTGGGCGGAAAGGGGTGGTGACCGCGGGGGGCGGGGGCAGGTCCCCACGAATCGCGCGAGGGAACTGCGACTGGACGCGCGGAACACGCAGCGCCCGAGGAGTTGCCAGGGGCTGCAGATGGCGCTTCCTTTTCACTGGTCAAGAGCCATGAAGGTGTGGTGGGTGCTTCTGAAGAGAGAAGGGGTGCGAGGGGGTTTCCCTGCGAGGGCGTGGGAGGCCAGTGCACTTGGTGCGAGGAAGCCGCTCCGTGGGGCGGGGAGAGGGGCAGGGCCAAGTCGCTCCGGGACGGCAGGGTCCCCGCGATGAGTCCCCCCACACA